CCTACTCATGCACTCGCCCCGGCACACGAGCTCTAACTCTCAGGATCAATCTTTGTTTAACCTCCGGAAAGTATTCAAATATCAAAAATATCACCTTATGAATACGAAATTACGGAATAAATATGACATGTACTTACAGGATTTCTACAGAAAACCGTGTCCAGCACCGAAGTTGCCTAGCTGTTACTGTTGTCACAGATCTAGGTCGTTGTTTTAGTTGGATATAGGCTAGGCGCGCGCGCTAGCGCTAGAGCGAGCGCGACAGTACAATTAGACTCGTTCGCGAACTATCAATACATATTATTGACTATATGAACTTGTTATTTGTTTTATGAAACGGATTTTTACTTCTATCGCAGATTGAATTCTTAATTAGATGTGTTATAAATAACAAATTTGTTATATTTATTCGATTCTGAGTTCAATGCTGCGGATATATTCGAGTCTCTTAAGACTTCTGGTGCATTTGAGTCTTGAACAAGACTATTCAGTCGCTACCCTTGGTAGGCTGTTCTTAAAGAAAAGATCCGCAATTGTCAATGACTGCTAATTTGTGTCGATCACGTTGTCATTTAAGTTGTAGGCAGTTTTGTTTGTTAAAGTTCTGTTTCAAAGGGAAACAATTATCTTCATAAGCCAATTAAGTCGAATTCAGAAGAATGTTAGATAGTGCAGAGGTACAGCTCAATTAGACTATACTGTGAAACTAAGGTCAGTATATAGCTAGAGAAACACTGATAATGAATATATGATGATGACGATAATAATAATAATAGTAATAATAATGATAATAATAACAACAATAAAAACTTACAATAATGATAATAAACCATATGTTTGAGGCTTGGAGCTTTTATGTCACTGAGTCAATTCAGTTCGCACCAGTTTTGGTTAAATTATGCTCTCGCCAGATCAGACATTGAATATATATTTTTCAAATTAAAACTTTGTATGTATTTAAAAACAAAATTGAATAGCGGAACTACAATTCATCGCCCCAGATTTAATACCGCTTGAACACTCATGCTGAGGATCAATTTACAAGAAACATAATAGCATATATACCTCAAAGTTAATTGTGCTGAAAATAAAGTTTATTGAGGGGGTGCATTAAAAGAAAACATATGGAGATAATGAATAATAACATATGCAAGGTAAACCAAAAAAGCCCAAATCTATACCATATAGATGAATACCAAGGTTTGATTGTTCTAAAACGACTGCAGGATTAAATAAATTCCTATTATGCGAATGATTTATTTAACATGAAATGGGTATACATAAACATTGTTAATATCGTGATATCCAATAATCATACAACTTAAATAGTTTCATATTATACACACTAAGCAGTGGCAAACCCTACACACACAACAGCTCTTACATCTATTTGTCACAATTTTTCATATTGCAGCTATAATCTTCTATAGATTTCTTGTGTTAGAATATTCACCACATAATGTGTATAATTTTGTTAGTTTTACACTAAGTATTATGGAAAGACATAAGAACGTATTAGGTTCAACTTTGCATATGAACTGCATAATAAATAAATGGCAGGAAAAAAAAAATCTGAATTCGTCTAATTGCTACGCAAATTCTACCTTTAATTAAACGTAATTAAACGGCGTGATACACCCTTTCCTGCATGTAAAATACACGACGTGTAAATCGATTTCCACACAATCTGTCACGAATGGGATCCATCCTGAATGGAAAAATGTGTATGTACGAAGGTTTACAGTTCGAGATGGTGTTATTGTCCTGTTTAGGTACTTTGTTCAACTTTTTGTCTTGCGCTTTAAATTGATGATTCAAACTTTGTAGAGTGATAGTTCATGCCATTACATATTTTTAGAATCAATTTTTGAAACACGGTTACATTAAAAACATATTTTAAAAATTAATTAACCTAATCTATTTTGAAGAGCGCCCTCGCTTTTATCCTCGTATCGACGTACCTAATAATATTGCACTTTACTTTTATGTCAGCTTTTTTTCTGGTCAATATAGAGGTTTCTTTCAGCTAGATTCCTTTCGTGTGCATTCAACCTTCTTTCAAATTGGTCTTACAACTGATTGGATTCAAATGTTTGTCCCTAAACGGAAAATGTGCTTAAATAGCGCATTGTTCTTAATATGTGTGCCATGTTTTGTCAATGGAGGCTTCTAATTGTAGCCACTGCCCCCTTTTAAATATAAGACGGATTATCTACAAACTATATTAAAACCGTGTAACAATTTAGGAAATTTATCAAGGAGAATTACAAAAAATGATTATAGATTATTGAAAATAAAATTTAGCCATGCCCATACATTCAGTAGAATTGCCTTAGTAAGATATATTGAATGTCTTAAATCATAGATGTAATTTTAATTTTAACGGGGCATTGCAGGAAAATGTGAAAAATAGTATTTGACAAAATATTGTGCATCAGTTTATAAAATGTACATTGTATGAGTGATGAGGGGCAGCATTGTAATGAAAAGCTTGACAATTTTGGCCCTAGAATATAGTTTTTGATTTTGTTGTTACATAAGAGGGTTTTCATGACATGCAGTGAAATCACAGGGTTATATCAATGCCCTTCTAGTTCCCAATTTGCGACATAGAGTAGAGAACACCGATGTGTTTTGAACAGCTATCATGTTTCTGTGGAGATCCAGAATATAATCTAGCTCTGAGCAGATGTTTTACTTTTCTCGGAATCTCACAGCCCTTAGTCCAAATATTTTTACTTTACTTTAGCGGCGTCCTACCGGTTTCTCGTAATATGATGGACCAGGACTCCCCTCTCCAAATCTCAACAACCCATTTCACATCAAGTCTCTCTTAATCACACCAAGGCACAGCTGGCAGCCATTATACTTAAAGTATGTGGCGTCTACACTCAGGGGCGGATCCAGCCGGCGAAAAGAGGGGGGGGGGCAAATCTTGAGAAAACAATTTAGCGCCGACTAAGCCGGCCGGTGAAAAATGAAAAAACGCGGGGGGGGGGGGGCTGGGTGTAGAAGCACATTTTTTTGGGGGGTACAGTTTTAGAGGAAAAATTTAGCGCCGACTCAGCCGGCTGTGAATAAGCGGGGGGGGGGGGGGGGGGGGGGTAAGAGCACATATATATTTTTTTAATATATTGGGCCCACTTCGTGAGAAAATATTTAGCAGCGATTCATCCAGTCGGTGGTGAATACGCAGGGGGGGGGGGTGTAATATTTTGTTTTGGTGTGGGCGAAATTTTTTAAAAAATTTTTGGGCGCCGCTTTTGTTTTTGTTTAATAAAAGGTTAAATTTACGTTATTATCCTATTTTTTTAAACATTTTTTTTAGACTAGAGGGTGGGGGGAGCAGGGCCGGAAAAATCGCCACGTCGATCCACGTCTGTCTACACTGACTTAATGGCACAAACGAACAATTCAAAGACATGAAATTGCAAAAGAATAAATCTCATCCAGTTTGAAGTACATGTAGTACAATACTGATAAAATCGTTTATTAAAGATATAATTCTTCTGTCAATATTGTTAGAAGAAACACATTCTTGGTAATAATATAACGTCGGGTATTTAGGGTAGCTGAACAACAACAAATGTAAAAACACATAGATGTTTATACAGGCAAATAAAGTACAAATTGCATTCAGAGAAAGGATCCATCACCAAAGAAAAAAACAAATTATAATAGAACCTACAAATGTACTCGTTATTACACATCTCATGATTGCAATTAATATAAAGATGTCAATACAAGTTGATACTATGAAAGAGAGAAAAGACTAATGCACATGCCTCTCAAAAAAGACATACAAAAGACATAACCTCGCACTCATCAGAGCGAAACTGGAGAACATAGAGCCAAAATAACTACACTACTTTAAGATCCTTTCCTATCCAATCCAACAAGTCTGAAAATTTGAGACAAAAGGCATCATTATGTAATTGCTGAACTAACCCAATTACACATTCCTCTATCGATTGATTTGCTTGAGAGGAATACCTATAGGGGGGGGGGGGAGGGGTATCTGAAATGATATGTGACATCCCATCAAGGAGTGAAAAGAAAAGTAAAGGAATGCAACATGATCGACCCCTCCCACATATGCTCCAACTTGAGATTCCAGTTATCTGTCTAAACAATTAATTCAATTAATAAGAGCAGCAGCCCCCCCCCCCATGACATCAGTGCCCTCTCAGTAACTCAACCCATGCTAAACTATTAACACTACCGATTAATTATCAAAAACCAAGATCATGACAAGATATCAGTTGAAAAGTCTTAAACTGCCTATGACAGGAATATCAATTATTTAAGTTAAACTTACACTGTACATGCACTATGTATTTTCTGAGAAGACTGTAGGTATTTGTTTAACCTTTTCCCTCATAAAAGATAGAGAGATTATATAAAACTTGCACACCAGAGAATTCGAAAATTTACCAGCAATTACCCTTAGCTTAATTACCTAATGTGATGGGTGTATTTTTGCTACCAAAGAATACATGCCAAAATAAAATCAATATGATTTTAAAGAATTGTATACATTTGAATGTGGGCAATTCAACTAAAATTGACCATGAGCCGAACTCATGAAAATTGGCAATGACTTCAAAAATATATATTTCCTGTAATGACAAATTTAGTACCAAACACAGGAAAAAAGGTATACAAATAGGAAAAAAATCACCCCGTTCTTTTTTTTGAGTAGAATAATAATATTGAAAATTGTTTACGCATGGCTTAATTGGGTTAACATCTAGCAAGAACTTAAGTACCCAAAAAATGCTCCAAAAAGAAATTGTATAGCAATTGTAAATAGTATAACCTTATATTTAAACAATTATGTTCAGAGTATATTAAAGCTTTTGTTGATACCTAAATAAGACTTATTACTTATTGAGCTCTAAACTCATACAGTTTTGAATTAAACCGACAATGGGTAATGAAAGAAATGAAATCCCATCGCAAACACAAATAAAAGCAGTCACAAAAAGTCAACACCACCCTCTCCTCAGAAAATACATGCCTATAATTGTGATTTCAAAATTCTGTAATAACCGATACATTGGTTAATTGGTGTGAAAAACCTAAATACAAGCTAAACATAATGAATAAAAAGATTGATTAAAAAGATACTTCATTCTGAGATGACTCTTTTGTAATTAATCAAAATTGTAATAATAATCATAATGCATGTAAGTACTTTAATTGCTGATTTAGAGAGAAGGAGAAAAAGTACATGAGAGGGGAGGATAAAATAATGAAGAATGGAAAAGAGAAGAATGAAAAACAATAATATGGTAAGCAAAAATAAATAAATACAAACATGACAAAGATAATTAAAATCACAGTTGGTTGTTAAGGAGTTTTACGATATAGGGAATAATTGAAGTGCGGTGTCTCTCAGTTCTACAATAGGGTATAGTTATGTGTAGAGAGTTTCATAGTTCATGGCAAGAGGTTTGGCGACGAGTTGGCGATAGAACATAATTCGATCTCGTGATGACTTAAACAGTTTGAGAGAAAAGGATTCAAGAAGGGCAAGACGGCAAGAAGTTAGACTCTGGAGAGAAACGAGTGGTTTCATACAACTGTTCTTATCCAAGGATAATACAGCAGACACGTTTCTGCACTTTCTTCAGACTGCAAGATAACTGTTCGGGAAATTGATGTGGACCAAACTGGAGAAGCGTATTCTAGCGAAGATCGGATATAATTATGTCGAGAAGATGTCTGCTAGATCTTCACATGATACTCTGAGATGTCGTAAATGTATAGTCGCTTGCCGGCACTTGATATCATATCAAACACTTGGAAATTCCATTTGAGATCTGACTGTAACTCCCAGAATTGTCGGAGTGGTGCAGTTTTGGATGGCCTTGTGGTCTAGGTGCAGCATTTGAAGGGCTGGTTGGATACACTTGAGGAAAACTTACTTGGATTTGGTTTTGAACTGCTCACGTGAGTAAAATTCCTTGTCCATTACTAGCTAGTACTTCTGTACTTGTCATGTCTAGTATAGTTACACAGAGTCCAGTTTCTCTCCAACTATTCAGTTACATACTGTGCAATGCAGTGAATGCTCCTGATGGTAAAATGTATCTAAATCACTGACTGTTCTTGCCCCTTTTAATTCTCCCGCAAGATGTCTGAAATGACCAAGGTTATTTCAAAATCGCATGTCTTTTCAACTGGAGTTCACCATTCTTTGGGATGTGCTGTTTTGTTTTGGGGAAACCAGGTGAATATTGCTCCACTGATAACTTTGGTCGAGCCATTTGATGCAGTGTTGAAGTTGTTCCTTTGCTAGTAGCTCTATCAAATAAAAGAAACAAAAAAGAAAAGAAAAAATTCATTAAATTTTGATAAAAAGTGAAGGAATAATGTAATAACGGATGCTGAGCTTGAGCAAAGCTGCAAAGGAGATAAAAAAAGGGACACCAATCAGACTACTGTAAGATAATTTTTCATTTCAACACTTCGACACAAATTTCCTTACGTGCTTGAGGCTCTATTTTGTTTCCTTTGCAGGACTTTATCTGTTTCAAAGTATTGCAGACTGCTGGCCTCAACTTATCTTCACATTACTGATTTTTTTTTTTAATAAATAGTGTATAATATAGGCTTAAACACTATCATTTTAATCTTGAATAAATACCCTTTTTACTTTGTACAGATTAATGTGGCACATTTAAACATTAATATGAATATCATAAGTAGGTGTTTCTTCTAAATGATCCAACAGATGCAATACTAATTGGTAAAGATCGAAAATTACATATCTTGAAAACAGTCCAACATGAAGAAAACTGCACGTTCTCGCAAAACAGTTTATGTTATGCCTCAACAATAACGTTTGCTGTAAAAAGTGTGTGACTATTTCAACACTCTATTCTAGTGGGAGGCGGGTCCGCCAAAACATATATCTTGAGATCAAAGTATCATTAGATTAAATTTTCATTCCTGGATTTTGTACAGTTTGGGGTTTCAGAGATTAAAAAATAAAAAATAAAATCCCTCCATTGTGTAAATTCTATAACGTTATCTGTATTAAACAATGTGAGAGTTTTTTCTATTGGCATAAAGAGAAATCCTTATGTGACCTTTGACCTACTTACCCCAAAATATAATCAGATTGTCTTCCTAAAGTGATACATACATGTACTATTAGCAGGTTTGAAGTTCATACCTCAAATGATTACTAAGATATCGCAATTACAAGGCTTAAAACGCATTCATTAAAAAAAACAGTGGCAACAACCAAAGGAAATTGGAAATGCCCTTTAGGCTCCCTGCACCAAAAGCAGGCATGGTGTTAGGACTTGTATGTGACAGAAGTAATTGTGAGGCAAAAGAAGCTGTGAAGGTGGAAGGATAGCGAGGATATCGTACATGATCAAGAATGTCAAATGCAATCAGATCTATAAACGAAACTTAAAACAGAATTGGGTGTACAGAATCATGCTACTTGTATGACATCAAAGTATGCCCCCCCCCCCCCCCCCCATGCCCCATGCTAAAACAAAATTCACTCAAATGTGAAGATGCAAGGAAATTTATAAAATTGACTTAATCTCTGGGAAAATCACAAATGATGGGAACACTGGATGTAGCATTAGGTGTATAGGATCATGCTACTTGTATAGCATCAACGTATGACCCCCGCCCATGATGATTATACGACTGAGAGTGCGTCAACCATGATCACTGCTGTTAATGAGACAGCCCCACACCCATTGCTGCTTCGATGTACTTACCCCAATATGTAATTTCTTTCATAGCAGGTAATTAGCAGGCAAGTGGTTGTGTCAAAGGGTTGAATAACAGCTTCAATTGAGGCAAAGTGTCCCCAGTGCTGTCAGCTGCACCATAATCAGGCACGGTGTTTAATAGGACTTGTTACAGAGGTAATTGTGAGGCAAAAGAAGCTGCGAAGGTGGATGGATAGCAAGGATCTCCTACATCTTCAAGCATGTTTGGTTTCTGTTCATAATAGATGCAATATTAACATGAAATTACACTAATTTTATGACAGCTAGCATTCAAATCAATGTGAAGATGTAATCAAATTTATAAACGTAACTTAAAACAGAATAGGGTGTACAGAATCATGCTACTTGTATGACATCAAAGTATGACCACCCCCCCCCCCCCCCATGCCCCATGCTAAAAGAAAATTCACTCAAATGTGAAGATGCAAGGAAATTTATAAAATTGACTTAATCTCTGGGACAATCACAAATGATGGGACAATCACAAATGATGGGAACACTGGATGTAGCATTAGGTGTATAGGATCATGCTACTTGTATAGCATCAACGTATGACCCCCGCCCATGATGATTATACGACTGAGAGTACGTCAACCATGATCACTGCTGTTAGTGAGACAGCCCCACATCCATTGCTGCTTCGATGTACTTACCACAATATGTAATTTCTTTCATAGCAGGTAATTAACAGGCAAGTGGTTGTGTCTAAGGGTTGAATAACAGCTTCAATTGAGGCAAAGTGTCCCCAGTGCTGTCAGCTGCACCATAATCAGGCACGGTGTTTGATAGGGCTTGTGACAGAGGTAATTGTGAGGCAAAAGAAGCTGCGAAGGTGGATGGATAGCGAGGATCTTCTACATCTTCAAGCATGTTAGGTTTTCTGTTTGTATTAAAAAGATGCAATATGAAAATAAAATTAAAAATTGCTCAAACGGCATTCGATCACTCCAATTTGAAGATGCAAGCAAATTTATAAAATTGACTTAAATAATGTTTGGAAAAATCACAAATGATAGGAACCACTGGATGCTGAATTGGGTGTATAGGACCACCCTACTTGTATGGTGCAAAGTATAACCCCCCCCCCCCCCCCCTTATGGCTTATATTCATGACTGAGAGGTCAACCTTGATCACTGCTGTCAGTGTAAGGGTTGAATAACAGCTTCAATTGAGGCTTAGGGGGGGGGGGGGGTAAAATGTCCTTTTGCGGTAATTGTCAGGGATGATTGTCCGGGGGGGGGGGGGTAATAGTCTATAGAACCCTATAACAACACGTACTACACCGATGCAGAATTAGGTGCATAGGATCATTACCCCCCCCCCCCCCCCCCCCTCCCTCCACTATAAATAGCTTTCCCTGAATTGTTCAAGTCAGTGCTTATTGTGTACTACTGTATATGCCCTTTGCTTGTTCGTATTGTTAGATTACAACAGTAATTACCAAAACAATAACATTTTTTTCTTCAAAAATAGAGTTGGGCCAGTGTATGATCCTAAGAAACAATTTTACCAAAAAAAAATTACATTGATAACTCATTTCAATGAAAACATATAAAATCTGATTGATTAAAATATAATGAAATTATAACATAAAGAACAATTAATATACTCCATCTACAAAATATTCAGTGAAAAATCCTGGTTATTATGTGTTAATGGCCAATAACATGCTTTCTGCTCCATAATGCATCATCATTCCATTTTGCCATTTAATGGTCCCAAATACAAAAATAGATAGTTTTTTGTTTTTTTTTCAAATCTTGTGATGTGTATTTCTAACAATGAGTTATTCCTATCATTCTCTATCTTTATGAAAAAGAAAAATAATAATTGCAAATTACAATTATGGATGTGGCTCTTTTACTTGTCCTTGCATGGCCCTAGCTTGACTTCCTGCAGGGTACTTTGTGCCAAGTTATTTCTCTAAGAGTGGAATTGATGTGAGGAATATTGCCATTTTCAGTAGGGGCACTGGTCTGAGAATGAAGATTGTCCGCATAAACAAGAATATCCTGGTAAACGCGGACAAGTCTCGACCTAAAAAAATAACAATAGTCTGCAATTTTCACAGACGTTTTTTCTTCTTCGGTGCTCTGCGGGTACAGGGTTCCTGATCCGCGTGCTGGCAATTAATGCGAAAAAACGGATTCCGCGTCACCGTCTACTTTCTATGGGTTGTCCGTCTTCCCTAGGATTTATTGTTCATAAAAGTGAAAGTCTCTGCGTAAGTGTAAAATGCATTATGGAGCATCATCGCGGAATTCGTTTTTCGCATCACCAACGCGCGGATCAGGAATCCGGATCCTTCACAAAAATGTGGATGATCCTTATTTTTCTGGATGCGAATGGTCTGCGTTTACGAGGGTATTGTCGTTTATGCGGACGATGCTTATTCACGTACCAGCACCCCTACTGATTTTGTGAATAAACCATTGTTGTTGTTTTTTATCGTGTAGGCCTATATAATCTACAGACATGTGCAAGCATTGCGCACAATGAACCGTTAGGCTATACTGTGCAGAGTCCTTGAATGAGTGGTGGAATATTTCACAAGCATGTCAAGAATTTGTAGACAATATGGTCATCTTGACTATAAAATAATTATTTAAAATGAAATACCTACATAGTACATTGGCTATATAGCGCCAAACATGCCAAATGAGGAGAGTGAGCAGCACAAATAGCCGCAGTATTATCAAGGTTTGCCCAAAATTTCATTGAATTTTCTGTTGATCTAGACAGAGTCTATCATAAAGTCTATCGATGCGCAAACGCTAGTGAAACAAAGTGCAATGGAATAAAATCAAGCTTTCAAAGGGCATTTTTTGCAGTTTTTCAACGCGATTTTGAGCTGTGACTGTGAGTGTGAATCAGATGAAATTAAATAAGAGAACTGATTTTTTAAGGTTATTTAAACTGCAGTATGATTTTGAAGCATCATAATGATTTCTATATTCAATATTCAATTGAACAATAATTTACATTTTCTCCTATTTATAATTTAGTAGGCCTAGACACCTAGATCTAGATCTAGGCTACCGGTATTTGTTTTGTAGACCTAGTAGAAATCTACATGCATGTGTGGAAAAGTACTAATAATAGGAAATCCAATGAGTTTTATGACGTCGATACCGGTTAATTAATGGCTAGACCTTATGCATTGAAATTATAGGAGTGTGAAGTGGAATTTGGTATGCTCAAGTTGGATGAATTTTGATTGTACAACACTTTTTCGTAGAAAAATTGCCAACACACACACACAAATAACGATAGAATCACACACAGAAAAGTTTATATTTGGGACTAGATCTAGATAGGTCTCATGAAATACAAAGGCAAATGGTTTTCAAACAATATTAGTCCTTATAATTAGACTCTATCGATTATTCCTCTGACTAAGATGAATATCTAGATCTATATATTTAAAACTTACGGTATACATTGTAGATATTTTTGGAGTGAAGACAAGGAACCACCAGCAGGGCAAGGCTAGCTGCGCCGACCAGCTGAAACTGTATCTGATGCTAGCCGCAGGTATGCGAGCTCTGCGGGTCTAGCGGGGACGCCGGCGGTCGACGCCAGTCCTGGGCGTACTGCAGCAGCAGCAGAGAGCTAGCTAGCGCCCTGCCAGCTAGGCCGGACCCATGGGGAGCGTCGGGGTTTTAATACCCCCTTTTCCTTCCAAAAAAAGCCAAGAATTTTCAAATAAATGTTCAGTTTACGCATTCAGAAATGCCTCAGAATGTACCATAAAGCATCTTATAGTTCAATTTTTTTTCCGGGGCCCTTTGGCCCCGGACCCCACGCCGATTTAACACTTCATGCCCTTCCTTAAAAAAAACCTCTTGGATCCGCCGCTAAAGCGGGTCGAGCATGATGTATTTCGCATATAGGCTGCACTCCCTGATAATACGCACGCGTATTCCGCACAAGCATTCCCAGCAACTTACTGTTACAGAATATAATCTAAAGGCGACGATCTACAGAAGCTGAGTAGCGCGCGCGCGCTGGAAGACTAGTTTTATCGGTATCTTACTGGGTCATCACATATACTCCAGAAGACAATATAGTTCCGGTACCTTACTATTGCAACTATATCACCTAGGTTATCAGATTATATTCTGCTCTGATATTAACCGACCACATTGGGTAATCCGCTACGGTACTTTGCTGACTCGATTATTGGTATCAGGTGGCTTAAAGGCATTATGCTATTTGTGGTATAGAAATGTATTTTTATTATCATATTATTATGAAAGTTTCTACCCTAATATTCTCAATTTAGGTATTTGTTTGGATCTAGTACAATACTGCATTATGTTACCTCTTAATGATATTCATGTAAGTTTGACACTGTTTTAAAAATAAACACAACAAAAAAGTAACTCCCCCTTAAAGGGATCCGGTAACTTTGTCATAGATCCTTTTAAAAAATCCTTGATTTAGCTCATGCTGGAATGATAATTATAAACCTTTAGGTCAGTCAGGAACCCCGTGACTTTAACAAGCCCATCGCCTGTCTGATTATCAAGGGCTTCAATATAAAACCATATTACAGACAGTAATAACACGTAGGGCCGTGCATCTTAGATTTAGCATTGTTAAGGGCTTCAATATAAAACCATATTACAGACAGTGATAACACGTAGGGCCGTGCATCTTAGATTTAACATTGTTAAACGATCCCTTAAATCAAAATAGCGTAGCTTTTTATAAAGATGTTGTACAAAATAATTTAACAGGAGTGTTTCTATACTTAGTGACTAACTTCTGTGTAAATCAAGATTGATTCGTCATGTCATGCATGAATGAGCATGCATTAAAGTCAAAATTTGTACTTTTCAAAAGTCACAAGAGTCATGTCTTATGCCATAATAATTAATAGCCTTTTTTGCTTTATTTTCAAAGTGTGCTCACTCAACTATGACGCGATTACTACCTCTTATGTTCATCCAACATGTGTTGATACATGTTGATAAAATATATATGATGTCAATTTTTTTTAATAAACTTAATGGATTTTACCATTTTAATATTTAGGAAGGATGATATTTTTAAATTGTGCTCACCGAACCGTAAACAAATAAATTGTGAAAAGTTTCAGGATATGTAAAGGGGTCAAACGATAGATGATTAACAACAATAGCGTTTAAACATACACCAGACACAGAATTTGCCAAAATCCTGTTTCGTAGAATTTCCAAAATGACCCTTGTCACTTTTGCAAAGTGACAATTTTGCTGTTGATATGAGCTCACTCATGCATGACTTGACGGATCAATCTCATATTCACACAGCTTTTAGTCAACCAGTGTAGAAACATCCCTTTCAAACCATTTTGCCAAAAATCTTTTAGTTAATAATTTATGCTATTTGATTAAGGTGGAGTGTCTTTTTTTTTTGGTGTTTATTTCAAGACTCGATTAAACTCCAATTTTTAACTTACTTTCAGTTCAACTCTTAAGAAGTGTACCAGGTGCAATTACGTAAGCTACTGCAATAAATCATGTCAGGTAAAAACAAATCTTTTGTTTTGGTTCCCTCCAATATAAACCCATTGCATATATTGGAACTGAATGATTCCTTAATTAAGTACATGTATATGGAAATAAAAGAATTCAAGCAGCCAGTGTCCCAATGAGTTAAAATAACTCTAACAAATTAAAAAATATTTAAAACTTGTTGTGAAGTTGCTAAAAATTTATGACAAAGTTTATGGAGTTTTGGGCTATGTTATATTAAGTATAGTTGGCCATTAGTGACAGAATGGTTGTTAGAGATTAGTGGTCATTGCAGGAACTATGCATAAATAATCAACAGAAATAATCAATCAATCTTGAAATGCCTAAACTACTACGAACAGTTAAATGAAGTGATTTTTACACATAACTTTGATTTAAATGGTGTTACATATGTCGAGTGTCTTTAATAATAACAATAGTAATAATAATAATCCTTTAAAGGGAGGCTTTACTACTTCTACTACTTCAGCAAGAAGGGATTAAACCACCCAGTGAGCCATCGAGGTCACTGTGACAGGTGGCTATCTCATTAACTTAACTCTCATTTAACATAAGAAAAAGAGGATCATGGGGACCAACAGGCACCGATTTGGGAAGTTTTCTATATAGAGGGAGCAAGTAGCTACAAGTAGGACAGTGTGCCTTTAAAGTCCACTCCAAATTTTATTAAACCGAAACGGAAATTCTTTTTGCCCAATTGATTGTGAGCCCGGCAGCCACTGAGCAGCGACAGATCGACGTTGCTCTATCCCCTTTTGTTGAACGCCGAACAAGGTTAATGTGTGTTTGTAGACTCACTTAGATTGTCGTTTGATACTGGTTACATTCTTATTTTTATATTTGTACCTCAATTGTGCAGATAGCAGACTGGGTAAGACGTCATAAGGAAGACTGCAAAACATTGAAGAGAATACATCCCAGGGTACCTTCAGACTCAGCTCAGCTTATGTCTCAAATCATCCGGAAGGAAAGAAAGTCTGCTCCGTGCACTCAGGATGATGAGGATTGTTTTCCAACCACCGTAGTCCAGTTGGAATCCCATCATGAGAAGCTGGTTGAGAATCTGACGAGTTGGATTGAGTTACAGAGCACGTTTTCTATGGTTAAGGATTTGATTGAAGAGGATGTATTACCTGAGCCAAGCAGTTTATTGAAGATGAAAGGGGCTATTCTCTGCAACAAATTCGCAATATTGGACAATAGTATGATTGGCATTGCAGATGGGCTATATATGAGGTGATTTATGTTACTATGATTGCTGATTGTTTCACCTGACTCTAAGAAAGAATGTTCATGCTTGTAAATAATGACCGACAGCTTTAATCCATAGCCTGGGCTATTTTAAAACTGCGTAGCCTGGGGGGGGGGGGGTGGGCAAGCCCGCCCCCTTAGATATCTGCGGTGAAACGGCCGATCGCCGCGAACATGTGCATGCGTGTCAAGTGGTGTTTATATAATACTATGGTAATTTCATTTTTTTTGGAAAATTCACTCATTTGTATATTTATGGTAAATTATGCAATTAAGGGCCAGAAATTCACATTTTAACGAATAAATCATATATTCTTTATATACATTTTATTTTGGAAGGGCCAGGTTATTCCTATGTTATCTATTGTTTTGATAATTCCTTATGTATTTCTCTGTTTTGTTAAAGTTATGTATTTTATTGTTTTTGTTGTTTTATTTCATTTTTAACTATAATTCAACTATTTTGACCGCCAAAACAAACACATTAACTATATACAAGACCAAATAACCAATGATTTATCTATTTTTTGGAAAAATGATAGACCCCCTACAAAAGTCATAAAAAGATTTTTTGCGTTAAAAAATTATCTCCAAAAATGGAGGGGGGGGGGGCTTCTTTTGTTATTTAGTCTTAAAGCATAATATACATTTACAATACCTTTCCTCTCCCCAATCCCATATAGTCTGAATTTTCTCTTATTTTCTTGTTTGTGTAAGTTAACGTGTCATTATTATGTCTCTGTTTTTAACTGTACATGTTTTAGAGCATCTATGATGAACCATTCCTGTGATCCTAACTGTGAACAGGTGTTTGATGGACTGAAACTTCAACTCAGGACCGTTAAAGCTGTCAAGGAAGGGGAACAGGTAAGACCACAGGTTATATTCCCTATGTTCTGGATATGCACATTACAGAAAATACCCTAAATATTTTTAAAGAAATGTAATTGACTTTAATTTGTTTTATGTGGATTCTGTCAGGATTATTACCAACTCATTTCACCAGGAAACTTTCAGGTTTAGTCTACCAGTGTTAGAAGATTTTACTCGGCACACCTAAATGGTTTAGTTTATATGTGGGAATCCAAGGATACAATGTATATCAGTTCTAGATTATGTAGTGAAGGACACTTTAACTTTTATAAAGGACTGATTTATGTATCTGTTCCTCTTTAAATTTATGGAAGTCTTATTGGTCAGTGTTTATAAATTTGCTGGTAAGTAAAAAGGAATCAAGCAAATCTATGACCTTGAAAAAGATGTTTTTTACTTGTACATGTATTATAAAAAAATAACATGTGCTTATAATCTAACATTCTTACAACCTGTTTTTGTTTGGTTTTAGTGTACAATCAGCTATGTGGTAGACATCAACCCAGCTAAAGATAGACAGGCTGAGCTGGAAGAGAACTATAATTTCATCTGCAAGTGTGTGAAATGCGTTGAAGAAATCGATGTGAGCCTTTACTTTACAGTTTCATTCTTTCTTTTACTCTTCTCAAAAGATCCTGAAAATAAAACTCCAGCTGTATACCGGTAATCCGGTAAAGTTAGTTTACTTTCAAACTATTTACTAGAGATCGTTGAACTAGAATTGTATTGATGGTCTCGAGATAAGGTCTGCATAAATGGATGTGCACCATCATTACTTCCGATGTTCGAAAAGTACTAAAATAATATATTGGGCATCAACAAGATCCACGCACTGCGTTACTTTCTATTATTACTGAAATTTGAAATAATGATATCACTCTCAAGTACCCTATGCTCATGCATACAAGGCAGTCGATACCTGCATGCATCTATTACCAGTATTGCAC